GGATGAGGAGGAGGGATGAGGAGGAGGAGATGAGGAGAGGAGGAGAGGCGGAGGGAGGAGGAGGAGAGGCGGAGGAGGAGGAGGAGGGTGAGGGACGAGATGAGGAGGAGAGGAGGAGGAGGAGGAGGAGGAGGAGGATGAGGAGAGGAGAGAAAGGAGGGGAGGAAGAGGAGGAGGAGGAGGAGGAGGAGGAGGAGAGGCGGAGGAGGAGGAGGAGGAGGAGGAGGAGGAAGGAGGAGAGGAGGAGTAGGAGGAGGAGGAGAGGGGAGGGGGAGGGGGAGGGGGCGGGGGAGGGGAGGGAGGAGCAGGAGGAGGAGGAGGAGGAGGGGCCAGAGGAGGAGGCGGAGGAGGAGGAGGAGGAGGCGGAGGAGGAGGAGGAGGAGGATGAGGAGTGACTCAAAAAAGGCCTTCCTCCCTCCTTTTGAAGGGAGGATTGGCGAGAGAGGAGAGCGCAGGAGGGAGGGCGGCAGGCGAGGAGGAGGAGGAGGAGGCGGATGAAAAGGCGTGAGGGATGTTCCGTGAGCAGCGAGTGGGAGGGGAGAGGGCCGGGGGGGGGAAGGATTGGGCGTGAGAAGTGAGGAGCGAGAAGCGAGGAGTGAAGAGCGTGGCTGACTGAGGAGTCCTTCCGTCGTCCGCCGTCCTCCATCCTCCTGCGCCCCCCTACAGAGAACGGCGGACGGCGGACGGACTTACCACTCCTCCTGCTCCTCCTCCCCCTCCTTCAGGCCAGCTGGGCACTGAATGACACAATAACAGAAGGAACAACCACAGACAACAAAGAAACCAACGACCCAGGGCCGAATCAACAAACTAACAATGGACACCACACAACAACGATACCAAACAGTCTGCACCATTTTTCTCTGTGAGGGCTTCAGTGATGGGGTAAGTTTCGAACTATTGTTTTGTGTGTTGCTAGCTCTTCCTTGGGCATTTGTTGTTTATCCTTATGCTTTTTGTGGGCTTGCAGTGCCCAGCCGCCTCGTCCCCCTTCTCTCTCTTCCTCGTGGAAGGCAGACCTGTTGTGCTGGAGGCGGGAGGGGGAGCAGGAGGAGGAAGAAGGAGAAGGAAGGAGGATGAGGACGACGACGAGCACACGACGGACTGGGGAGGGCTTCTGTTCTCCTTCTTGCTCCTCTTCCTTCTGCTCCCTCCTCCTCGCTTCTCTCCTCCCCATCTCTCGTCCTCACCTCCTCTCTCCTCCTCTCTTCTCCCTCCTCCTTCTCATCCGCCTGTTCCCCTCTGACGCTCGTCTCCTCCTCATCCGCCTCCTCCTCCTCATCCCTCCTCTTGCCGCTCCCAGCACTGTTCATCCTTCTCCTCCTCATCTTCTCACCCTCCTCATCCTCCTTATCCCCTTCGATTGTGCCCCTCTCTACCACCAGGAGGTAGGTGATGAGGAGGGGGGCGAGGAGGAGAAGGAGACTAGTGATGAGGATGAGGAGAAGCTAGATGAGGTGAATGCGAGCCCGATGGTGATGATGCTGATGCTGCTGCTGCTGATGATGATGATGATGCTGTGATGATGCTGACGACGATCATTATGATGCTGATGGTGGTGGTATGGTGCTGATGATGATGATGAGGCGATGCTGATGATGATGCTGATTATTCAGATGCTGATGCTGCTGATGCTGCTGATGATGATGCTGATGATGCTGATGATGCTGCTGCTGATGATGATGCTGATGATGCTGCTGATGATGATGCTGGTGCTGATGCTGATGCTGCTGATGAGGATCCCGCTCTCCCGAGGGGGGGGGCAGCCGCCGATGATGATGCTGATGCTGACGATGCTGATACTGGTGATGATGCTGATGGTGATGCTGCTGATGCTCGTGCTGATTCTGAGTATGATTACGATTCTGATGATTATGATGCTGATGCTGACGATGATGATGCTGATACTGATGCGGATGGTGATGATGCTGATGATGATGACGATGATGATGATGCTGATGATACTGACGATGTTGATGATGCTGATGATGATGCTGACGATGCAGCTGATGATGATTACGATGATGAGGAGGAGGAGGAGCATACTGATGATGATGAGGAGGATGAGCAGGAGGAGGATGAGGAGAAGGAGGAGGAGGAGGAGGAGGAGGAGTAGGAGGGGGAGGAGTAGGAGGAGGCTCGCTCTCCCTCTCTCTCTCTCTCTTCCCCCCCTCTCTCTTTCTCTTCCCTCCTTCTCCTTCGCCTCCTCCTTATCTTCCTTCTTTTCTGTTCCTTCTCGTTCTCCTTTCCATCTCCTCCTTCTGCAAGCACAAGTCCTCCTCCTCCCCATCCGCCTCCTCCTTCCCCTTTTCGTTTCCTCTCTGTAGCAATGCACAACCAATGATGCAGAGTGTTTGACGCCCTCGGTGGAAGGACGCGCTGTAGGTTTTGTTCTTTTTTGTTTTCTTGGTTTGGGGTGCAAGGAACCACTGTGTTTTTCGTTGGTTTTGGAGCTCTGGAAGAGAGGGGAGAGGAGGTGCCGGGGGGCAGGCCGCGGGGAGCATTTGAGCTTCCAAAGCCAAAAAACCAGACACACCCATACTACGCAGTTCTTCCTTGCAGCCCAGACCAAAAATCAAAACAACCAAACATACGCAGCGTCTCCTTGCACCAAGGTCTCCAAACACTGTGTATTCTTGGTTTTCCTGCTTTGCAGCAAGGTTGAGGAACGGAATGGAGAAGGAGGGGGAACGCGGAAGGGAGAGACGGAGGAGGTGCTGGGGGGGGGGGACACTTGAGCTTCCCCCCCCAAAAAAACACCAAACAAACATCAAGCATACGCACTGTTTCTTTGCACCCCAGACCAACAAAAACAATCACAAACCACGGATACACACCGTTCCCTTGCACCGAGGGCGCCACAAGATGTGTATTCTTGGTTTTGTGTTGTTACAGAGAGGAGAAACGGAACAGAGAATGAGGAGGAGGAGGATGATGGGCGAGGAGGAGGGTGAGGAATCGTGTTTGGAGAAGGAGGGGAGGGAACGGAGAAAGAGAAGGAACGGAAAAGGAGGGAGGAGGAGGAGAAGGAGGAGAAGGAGGAACGGAGGAGGGGGGGAGACGATGATGACTTCGATTCAAGTCGAGACGTATGATCCTTCGGGGAGGGGGGAGGGGGGCGACCACATTCTTTTTTAGTAGAAGGAATATCTAGATATACGTGTCTGTATGCTTATGTACAGCAATATCTATATTCATGTATACATGGGTGTGTGTGTGTATATATATATATGTATGCACGTGGCGCGCGGTCGCCCCCCAGACGACTCCGCTCTCGGCACATCTACCCGGGATAGTGATTGCGTCGAACGTTGACGTTGACGCTGCTGCTGCGGATGCCGTTGACGCTGATGCTGCGGATGCTGATAACGGCGATGCTGATGCTGGTGATGATGATGGTGTTGAGGATGGTGATGGTGATTGTGATAATGATGACGATGATGATGGGGATGCTGACGATGGTGATGAGGATACTGATGATGCTGATGATGCTGCTGATGATGATGATGATGGTGGTGGTGATGGTGGTGATGAGGATGATGATGGTGGTGGTAGTGGCGATGGCGATGGTGGCGACGCCAACGTTGGCGTAGATGATAATGATGAGGGGAATGACGCAGGATGAGCAGGGGAGTTTCGCGGTGATGGCGATGATGATGCGGTGGAGGCGACGACGACGATGACAATGACGATGACGATGACGCTGCTGATGATGATGCTGATGATGCTGATGATGCTGATGCTGATGCTGATACTGATGATGATGATGATAATGATGATGATGATGATGATGATGATGATGATGATTATGATGATGACGATGATGCTGATGACGATGATGATTTCGATGTTGCAAGTCCTCATGCTGATGACGATTATGATGATGGTTGTGGTGGTGGAGATGATGATGATTATGATGATGATCATGATGATGCCGATGACGATGGTGATGATCATGCGACTGTTGTTGATGATGATTGTGAAGCTGATGGTGATGCTGATGATGATAATGACGAAAGGGAGAGACGACATGGGAAAGACACTTAGGGGGAGTGATGCTGCTGCTGCTGCTGCTTCTGCAGATGATGGTGATGATGCTGCTGATGATGATGGTGATGATGCTGATGATGATGATGATGATTATGATTATGATTATTATGATGATGATGATGATGATGATGATGATGATGATGATGATGATGATGGTGGTGGTGGTGGTGGTGATGATGATGATGATGATGATGATACTGATGTCGACGATTATGATGATGATGAGGATGAGTATGATGATGATGATGATGATGATGATGATGATGATGATTATGATGATGATGATGATGATGATGATGATGATGATGATGCTGTTGACGGTGATGACGCCGATGAACATCTGGTGTGGGGGGAGAGAGGTTGACGAGGAGGAAGGGAGGGATGATGACGGGGTGGGGCGGTCATGAGGGGGGGGGATAGAGAGAGAGAGAGAGAGAGAGAGAGAGAGAGAGAGAGAGAAAGAGAGAGAGAGAGAGAGAGGTCGACGAGGAGGAGGGGAGGGACGATGACGGGTTGGGGCAGTCATGACGAGGATGGCGACTTTGAGGACCTGATGCTGTTCATTTGACCAGGAGGGCGACCTCACCGCTCTGGTATGCCACTCGTGTATGATTGCCCCCATGCCCACTCCCACCGCAAGGCATTTTGTTACGTCCGAGTCGAATAGATACTAGTGACCGGACAGACTGGGCACGGGAGAGGTGGGGAATGGAACGTGTTGGGGAGGACGGGGGAGGTAGGCCAGGAGGGCAGGTGTGGGCAAAGGAAGAGAGGGATCCGGAGGGATTGCGAGGGAGCGGCGGGAGGAAAATGGAGGGGAGGGGAGCGGTGGAGAGGGACGGGGGGTGGAGGGGAGGGAGGGAAGAAAGAGGGCAGAGGAATGGGAGCGAAGGCTGACCATGATTGTGATGGCCCTGTTGCATATCCTGGCGCCGCCCGAGTGCGCCGAGGTGATCCTATCCGACTTCGGTAAGGTCGAGGCTACCACCAAGGCATCGGAAGCGGAGTCCCAGAAGATGTACGAGGAGTTCATAATCGAAAGCAAAAAAAACCAGGTGCCATGTGGACGAGAGGAAGGATGAGGGATGGACGGTCAGCGGAATAAAGACGGGAGGAGGAATGTGGAGGGCGGATGATCTTGAACGTGGTACAGCGCAGGTGAGGTTTGTGCGGGAAAACTTATTTTCTTCTTGCGCTGACGCTTGCATATGCTTTTTGCTTGGTGTGGTCGATCCTTTCACGTCAGTGCCCGCATCAGTTGTGAGGAGGGAGGAGGAGGAGGCGGAGGAGGACTAGTGTAAACCCAAGATGCACAACCATGTTGCGAGAAACCTTTCTTCAAGTTCTCTCTTCATAGGCTCCTACAAGTTCTTTCATTGCGGGAGGTGGCCTATGGGAAAACAGTCGTATATATGTACCAGAACACAGTTCCTGCGACTTCCACTCCGCGGATCAACGTGATTGTTGCGCCCTGACAGTTCGAACTCGTGTCAGGACACCGTTCTTCGGACTTCAACTCCGCGAGTCAGTGTGACTGTTGCATGTCCTGAGGCGGGCCAGAACAGTATTACTGGGACTTCTACCATACGTGACTCCAGAAGTGTTGTACATTCTTAAGACGAATGTGCGCAGCGCGAAGGCGAGAGCCACATGTTTAAAAGACGGAGACTCCCTCCATACGTGACGCGGCTGCAAGCTTTGAAGCGAATGTGCGCGGCACTAAGGCGAGAGACATATTGTGGAAACCAGTTTTCTTCCATCCGTGGAACTGCTTCACAGTTTTAAGACGAATGTGCGCTGCTCTATGGCGATCCTCATTTTGAAAGCGACCCGCCATGCACACGTGAAGCTGTTGCAATTTTTAAGAAATGTGCGCGGCGCTACGGCGAGAATTTCAATTTCAGAACCACACCCTCCACCAGTGAAACTGCTGCATCTTTTAAACGGGTTGCGCGGCGCCAAGGCGAGAACCACATTTTGAAACCGACTCGCCCTCCATCCGTGAAGCTGTTGTACTTTTCAAGCCTCAGGATCTTACACGGCAAGGAATTCTCAGGCGAAACGCCCGGCCCACTCTTGGGGTGCGACAGGGTGGAGTTGTTCATAAGGAAGAGCGATGGAGGAGGAGGAGGAAGAGGAGGAGGAGAACCAGAGCTAACCCAAGATGCATCAACGATGCTGTAACACACCCTCCCATCCCGAGTCTCCTCCTCATAAGCTTTACGACCCTTCGTGTTCACTACAGGAGGTATCCCCTTGAAAGACCATCATCCTACGGGCCTGTCATTCAGGCGATGGCCCCTTTCGGCGCAGGAACTGCCTTGCATCCTTGCATCCTTGTGTCGAGTAATGAAGAATGCGAGAAGGTAAGACCACAAAATTCAAAAATGTGTCCAGCAAGAGCGCAATTCTTCAAAAGGCCGCCCGATCCGCGTAACGGGTGCAGACGTTGGATTTTCGTTTGATTCGCGTTAGAGGACGTCGGGGGCGAGAGCCCCATTTCGAAAGGGAATCGCTTTCCATCTGTTCAGCCCATGCCAAGAAACACCCTGCTTGCCTCCAGGGTGCCCTGGGTTTATCTTGGGTTTCGATGGCTTTGCTATGGACACCGTGACGTTCCCACACCGAAAAAGTCAGTGGACGTCCTGGGGTTCCAGGGTTGGGTTTCTGGTGGAAGGTTCCTTGTGGTCGAGCTCCTACTGCACATACCCTGACGTTCGCCGTTTTTTTCCCATCCGCCGCCCCGGAGGGCCCGACCGCTTTCCGGGGGTGGCTTTCGTGCAGGGCCCACTTCTGCTTGTCCTGGGGGCACGTGCACCCGCCGGTTGGGAAAGCATTCTCCTGAGATCCGACGTATCTAGGCCTCCTAGATGGGGCCGGAGTAGATGGGGTCGGAGGATCGCGCCGCATCGCCGATGCATCGGCGATGCGGCTCGATGCGGAGCCCGTGTTTCCTCACGCGGACGTCGCCGATGCATTGACGGTGCATCGCCGATACATCGCCGATGCATCGCCGATGCATCGGCGATGCGGCGCGATCCTCCGACCCCATCTACTCCGACCCCACCTAGGAGGCCTCTAATGTAGCGAAAAAAATGCAACATCGCAAAAATCACGCCTGGAGCACTGGACCCCGTCTTTCTGCGTCATTCTTCGGGCTGGATCGATTTGTGAGGCGCCCCCAGGGCCCGAAAAAAGGCGAAAGCGCCCGTCTCGAAAAGATGGAGACGCCAGGATCTCAGTGTCTAGCGTCGGGGATTTGGGGCACGTTTTCCCAGGCAGTGGCTCGGCCAGGGTCTCGGGAGGAGCCAGCCCAGCTGCGGTGGCGATTTTCGGGACAGCCCCAGGCGGCGGCCGCCCCCGGGAAGCTCGGCGGGAGCCCCAGAGACGCACCCGGAGGGGGACACTCTGGCGGCCGGGGGTTGGGGACGGCGACGGCGGCGGCGGCGGCGACGGCCTCGTCGGGGATGGCGGCGGCGGCCGCGATGATGACGAGGAGGAGGAGGAGGAGGAGGAGGAGGAGGAGGAGGAGGAGGAGGAGGAGGAGGAGGAGGAGGAGGTGTAGATCGACGGAGACGACGGTGTCGTCATCTTTTGACGGGGGCGTTGACGTCGTCCAGGCCAAGAAGGAGAAGAACATAGAAATGAACGACTCGGACAAGGCTGCCGCTGAGGAGCAGCTCAGGCAGGACATCGCGGACCTCAAGGCCACGCAGGAGAGCTTCTCCTGCTGCTGCTGCTGCTGCTGCTCCCTCCTCCCCCCGCCCTCATTCAGCCATTCATTCATTCATTCACTTAGGCACCATCCACGGAACTAAGCAATCTCTCACCTAGCCACGTTTCGAGTTGTGCCCTGGCTGGGCCGAGAAATAACTACACTACACTTGATCACCCGCCCTTGTGCGTCGAAGGATCGACTGAGCATTCAGGCTGATGCAGCACCTGCTGCGGTGCCATCGAGGGGCTCGGATAGATCACACTTTTGTGAATCAGACCTTAGCTGCTTTATCATGCTAGGCGCGACCCAATCATTCTGGGGCTGGTAATGTATGACAGTCTCGGGCTGGTGCGACATCAGCTGGCACTGCAGCTCACTGCTTATACTTCCTATTTTTGTTTGTCGGTGTACAACCCAACGCAATTATCCAGGCGAAGGGCCCAACCATATATAACTATGAGTACCGTCGTTGCGGGTATCGCCTTCGCGGGATCTCCTCACGGGGCCATGAAGCATGCGAAGGACGTGCCAATATGGAGCGGAGCCGCCATGTTGGCGCTGCCACTGGGGCTTTTGGTGGAACCCAATATGGGGCCGCGAAACGATGTACGGCGTGGGGGAGACGCATGCGCAAATCGCCACTGGGGCCTTCGGTGGAGCTCCCTATGAGACTACGAAGCGCTGTACTGGGTAGGGGAGACGCATGCGAACACCGCCACTGGGGCCTTCGGTGGAGCTCCCCATGGTGCCACGAAGGGCTGTATTGGGGGGGAGACGCATGCGAACACCGCCACTGAGGCCTTCGGTACAGCTCCCCAACGGGCCACGAAATATTGTACTGGGTGGAACAGACGCATGCGAGCGCCACCACTGAGGCCTTCGGTGGAGTTGCTTATGGTGGGGGAGACGCATGCGACCATCGCCACTGGGGCCTTCGGTGGATCTCCCTACGGAGCCACGAAGCGTTGTACTGGGTGGGGAAGACGTATGCGGACACCGCCACTTGGGACTTCGGTGGAGTTCCCCATGGGGCCACGAAGCGCTGTATTGGGTGGGGGAGGCGCATGCGAACACAGTCAGTGGGGCCTTCGGTGGAGCTCCCTATGGGGCCACGAGGCGCTTTACTGAGTGGGGGAGACGCATGTGAACACCGCCACTGGGGGCTTCGGTGGAGCTCCCCATGGGGCCACGAAGCGCTGTACTGGGTGAGGGAGACGCATGCGAACGCGGCCAGTGGGGCCTTCGTTGGGGCTCCCTATGGGGCCGCGGAGCGCTTGCTGGGTGGGGGAGACGTATGCGGACACCGCCACTGGGGCCTTCGGTGGAGCTCCGCATGGGGCTACGAAGCGCTGTACTGGGTGGGGGAGACGTATGCTAACGCCGCCAGTGGGGCCTTCGGTGGAGCTCCCCATGGGGCCACGAGTGGCTGTATTGAGTGGGGGGAACGCATGCGAACACCGCCACGGAGGCCTTCGGTGGAGCTCCCTGTGTGGCCTCGAAGCGCTGTACTGGGTAGGGGAGACGCATGCGAACACCGCTACTAGGGCCTTCGGTGGAGCTCCCCATGCTTGAATCGTAAAGCTCCAGGAAGAAGATGTCTACGTCGGAGTCGTCGTTGTGAGACGTGTAGATTTTCGCTGGAATATCGATGCTGATGTTACGATCGGACGCTTTGTGCCCTGCTGAATCGGGCCGCGCACCCCTGCGCGGTATCACTGGCACGGTCAGTGTCTTGTCAGAAAGGGTCCTGCCCACCCACGCCTTGAGCCATGGTGAACGATGGAACAAACATGGCAGGAGAGGCAGGAACGTAGTAAAGCGTAGCTTTCAGACAGGGGGAAAACGGGCTGCCATGTCGCCGGCGCAGCTGGGCGCTGTGCTTACAGAGTGCTGCTTGATGAATTTCTTGTGATTGTCGACCTCCTGGGGCTTCTGAATCATGATCATGTAGTCGGAGGTCGTAGGCGCCTTAGAGTTCGTCTCGCTCACGGTCTTCCCCTTCAGGTTCTCCATTGTCCGCTCCTGGCGTGCCAGGCGCCGCTCCTCGAGCACACGACGTGCGGCAGCAGGGTCGGTGGAAGTCGTCTCGTCGAAGATGCGCTTGCCGAGAGCCTCCCGCTTCTGGACACTCATGAACTGTGTGTCGTCTATGAGACGCCACTGCTGTTCCTCCAGGAAGGCGCGGATCACGCCGAATGCCTGCCAATTGGTCTTTGTCAGTCCGTCTGCGATCTGCGCGTGAGAGTGGACCCATCACGCCGTCGTCTGTTCCTCGCCCATGGCGTTGCGGAGGGGCAAGGCTTCGATGGCCGCGCGCCGCTCCTCGGCGGACTGGGGCCGCACCGTGCCGTCATAGAAGGCCCTGCAGTCCGTAGCCAGGATGGCTGGTAGACTCCGCAGTGCCGTTGTCCGGTCCCGCAAGGGGGGACTTGGTCGTGCAGCACCTCCGCGAGCACCAGGCGTGCCATGCATTGCTCGCCTTCAGCGTCGCCAGCTTCCTGCACTTCTGCTGCCAGGCTCGAGCGAGCTACGCGGCGCAGCTTCCTGGAGCCCCAGTCCAGGACCGTGAACTCTGAGAGCTTGCCGTCCATGGCCGCCTTGGTTGCGACGGCGGTGACGTGTCCACCCTGGAAGTGCCCGTCCAGTCGACTCGCCCAGGCCGCACCACGCCAGGCGAAAATTGGGCCAGGTCGTCCAGGTCGTGGCGGTAGATCTGCATCCCCGTGTGACGGCTTTGCTTGATCAGCTTCGCGATGTTGTTCGCTGCCGCGAAGAGGTTGTGGGTTCCAGTCGGGATCTTTGACCGTAGGTCGGCAGCCCACGAGAGACGGAATGCATGGTGTTCAGGCCGAGCCCGTAGATCTCCCCGCAGAAGGCCCGCAGCACCGTCTTGTGCGCATCCACGGGGGTGTCTGTGGTGCGCCGCTTGCTTCCGCTGGCTGCCGAACTTGGATCTTGTCGACGTACGCCTGCTGGTGGAGAAGCCCTTCTCGTTCCCCTCGATCGTGACGCCGCACTGCTCGAGGGAGGTGGGCCTGGTGCCCCTTTTTGTAGAGCCCTCGGATCTGCTGGACCTTGACCTGCCACTCGGGGTGCGACGTGTCGCCCGATGAGCAACGGGCCTTCCAGGGGCAGGGTTCCAGTTCGCACGCCTGGAGGCCTAGCTTCGCGAAGTCGCTCTTGACAGTTGCCCACCAGTGTCGCGGCGCCTCGCCGATGCCGCACCCAGGTTTCACCACCTGCAGGATCTCACCGTCCTTCACGTTGAACGCCTTCTTGAGCACCGCGTCGGGCTCGATGAAGAGGTCCTTGTCCAGCTCGTGGGCCTGGAGGACGGCTGAGGTCACGTCGTCCTCGATCAGCTCTCAGTGGTTTGCCGCGGCCACTGTGAGCATCACGTTCCGGGCGCGTCGAGTGGCCGTCGGGCTGGCCATCGGTTCCTGTCCCAGGTCCTTGGTCTTGTAGACGAGCAGTACTAGACGTGCCTTTGCCTCACCGTCCGCTTTCCGGGTGAAGAGTCACCTCGCCCGGATGACGTCGGCCGCATCTTTGACCCGAGATATAGGCACGGCTCGGAGTCCCTGGTGTTGGACCCAGTTGCTGGTAAGCTTGGCCATGGCTCCTTCGCACTCATTGCGCTCGCTGGTGTTCATCTTGGACCACGTGAGCTCTACCTTGTCTTTGCGGCGCTGGTTGACGACGTCGCTGTCCAGAATGTGGTTCATCAGACCTCGTCGTCCCTTGGGCGTTGTATTCGCGTCCACGAGATACTCGAAGTAGGCTGTCTGCTGCTCGTCGTTACCGAGAGTGATGTCCAGCTTGTCGTGGGCGAGGTCGACCAGAAGGTTGGACGGGTCCTCCATCCCTTTGGTTCTCTCCTCGTCGGGGCCCTTCCTGGCGCTCCGGTGCGTGGGCGACCCCTCCTGGCGCCCCGAGGCGCCCGATGGGGCCAGCCGCGCGCGACCGAGCCGTCGCCGCCGCCCGCCCCTGCGCCCACCAGGGCTGCCCGCGGTGCCTCTTCTGGCGCGCGGTCGCCGTAGAGTTCCGAGGTGTGGCGAACGCTCGACCGCGCGCCAGAAGAGGCCCCCCAGATGGCCCGAAAACGGCCCAGGAGGGCCCCCAGACGGCCCCAGAGGGCCCCAGGACGGCCCCAAAGAGCCCCCCCAGACTGCCCCAAGAGAGCCCCAAGGGGGCCCAAGGAGGCCCCCCAACGGGCCCCCAGAGGTCCCAGAGAGAGCCCCAAGAGTCGCGCGGCGCCTCTTCCGGCGCGCGGTCGCTGTCCAGTGTCCATCTCCACCTCCCGTCGCCCCCGCGCCGTCCGCCCAGCGGTCGCCTCCGCCACTCCACTCCGCTCCTCTGCTCGCCGCCGAGGCTCGCCTTTGGCCAGGGAGGCTCCTCTCTGGCCTCTCTGAGAGGGCTCTCTCTCTCTGTCTCTCTCTCTCTCTCTCTCTCTGAGAGAGGGCCTGTGGCCGTTCTCACGGTGGCGCGACGGCCGTGAGGACAATGGATCCTGGACCCGCCGGCTTCCCCCAGTGAGAATCAAGCTCACTCCCGAGAGCCACCAGGGTTTCCTAGAGGCCATGCCGGGCCCTCGCAAGGCCCAAACTCTCTCTCCTTCCCTGCTCTCTGCGTGTGCTGCTCTTGCCCCGCTTTTCCTTTCATCGTTTTTGCTCAATCCGTCTTGGGGCCCTTGACCTTAGAGCTACGCCAGTTGTTCGAGTCGCGCTCACAGCAAAATGAGCCCTGGCGCCGCGCGCCTTTCCAGATCATACCCAGGACCAGTTCTCCATCCGGGGCAGCTTGTTGGCGGCACCTGGGCCCATGGAGAGCCCCATGGAGCTGGAGAGTAGAGAACACCTCCTGGCGCTGCTCCCCGAAATCGAACCCCAAAGACTGCGTCAACAGAACTTTTCGGAGCTCCGCGCGGATCTCTTGTATCGGCGCTGGCCCCCCCCCCGGCGGCGCCTCGGCGCCGCCCGAAGGGGGGGGGGAGTCCAG